TCTCTGTCTCTCCTGCTCACTGTCTGTATGACTCTATCTCTCAAAATAAATAAAATAAAAATCTCTTAAAAAAACATGTATTTAGTTAGTTACTTGAAAGACTGAGAGAGAGAGAGAGAATCTATCATCCATTAGATCACTCCCAAAATGGCCACAACTGCTGGGCCTGGGCTAGGCTGAAGCTAGGAGCCCAAAAACTCCATCTGGGTCTTCCATGTGGATGGTAGAGACCCAAGAACTGTGCCATCATCTGTTGCCTTACCAAGCACACCAGCTGAGAGCTGCATAGGAAGCAGAGCAGCCAGGATTTGAACATGAACTTTGACATGGTGCCAGTGTCGCCATGTGGCAGCTTAATCTACTAAGCCACAATGCTGGCCCTGATACTATTTATGTCTTAAAATATCAGTGGACTAGCCGGTGCCACGGCTCACTAGGCTAATCCTCCGCCTGCGGTGCTGGCACTCCAGGTTCTAGTCCTGGTCGGGGCACTGGAGTCTGTCCTGGTTGCTCCTCTTCCAGGCCAGCTCTCTGCTGTGGCCCAGGAGTACAGTGGAGGATGGCCCAAGTGCTTGGGCCCTGCACCCACATGGGAGACCAGGAGGAAGCACCTGGCTCCTGGTTTCGGATTGGCACAGCGCGCCGGCCACAACACGTGGCCACTGCGGGGGTGAACCAACGGAAAAAGGAAGACTTTTCTCTCTGTCTCTCTCACTGTCTAACTCTGCCTGTCAAAAAAAAATATTAAAAACATCAGTGGACTATACATATTTCAAAGCAAGGTTACGGGCTAAGGCTATGATCTGCCCTTATGACTCAAAGTTATGGAACTGGTCCAAGAAGAAGCTATAGATGTCTAATGGAGAAAGAAATTACTTATCCTAGCAGACAACAGGAATGTTTCAAAGGTTCTAGTAGATGCTTAACAAGGCAATCACACTACGCTAACTCTCTGATTAGCTTAAGAACAGAGAGCAAGAAAAGGTATTGGAGGTGTCTAAACAGTTAGAATGAAAGAAGGCTTCCTTGAAGAGGTGATGCGTACCCTGAGGCTTAGGAAGGAGAACAGAGGAGGGAGAAAACCGAGTACAGAAAGCCCAAGCATGAACAGCATGTCCGCTTCTTCAGAACGAGTAGAGCTTAGTGTACGGGGCGGGACATGGACAGAAATGCGCTGAGGAGTAAGTGGAAGGTAGGGAAGCTCCAGGCCATGAAGGGCTTTAAGAGGCAAATTAAATTCAGATTTCATCTTACAAACAAACGAGCATTTATGAGTCTGCATTTTAGAAAGGCCTAGATGAAATGTGGGGAGTATGTTGAAAGATGTCAATTTTAGCGGCAGGGATATAGTTCAGATCTGCTGAGATAACCTGGGGAGCTTTAACTAGTACACTGTCAGTTTTGAACTAGAGAAGTGGGTAGATCTGAGACAAAATTACTTAGGAATCAGAACCTACAGGACTTGAATGGGTGGGAAGACAGGAGAAGAATCAAGGATGACACTTGGCAAGTGGGCTGGATGAGAGGCCCAGTGACGGTGAGCAGGGGCGGGGTGGGCAGGGCAGACAGGTAAGGGACGACAGGTTCAGTGTGGGACACTGAGCTGTAAGTATCCGAGGCACACTTAAAAAGAGGTGCTCAAACGGATCTGCAGCTGATGGCTTAAATCTGGGATGGAGATACAGATTTCTTCAAATTTGTCTGTGGAAGAAGAGATTCTGCAAGTAAGACCAGAAGACACTTCCAATCAAACTTAGTAATGGACACCACTGGAGCCGCTGCTGTGGTGTAATAAGTTAAGCCTCCGCCAGCAGTGCTGGCATCCCATACAGGCGCTGGTTCCAGTTCCAGCTGCTCCACTTCTGACCTAGCTCTCTGCTATGGCCTGAGAAAGCAGTGGAAGATGGCCCAAGTCCTTGGAGCTCTGTACCTGTGTGGGAGACCTAAAGAAGCTCCTGGCTCCAAATTGGCCTAGCTCTGGCTGTTGTACCATTTGGGGAGTGAACCAGCAGATGGAAGACCTCTCTATCTGTCTCTCCCTCTCTCTGTGACTCTCTCAAATAAATAAGTAATCTTTTTTTTTTTAATAAATAATGGATACTATGATTCATTGTAATTTCAGAGTAGTATGAATTTTTTTTTCTAGTTTTACACAGAACCCAGGAGCCAGGCAATTGGATTAATCAGAGATAGAATCTTGCCAGGTGGTTATGAAAGCTGAAAAGCAAGGAATGGGAGTGAGGGTAACAGCATAAGAGTGAATAAAAATGAACTCAAATGGGATAAGGCAGTAAGTCAAGGAATAAGTAAAACAAATAAAGTCAAATAAGAGACTTATATTGGAACAAATTAGAGAGTTTAGCTGAAGTGAAAAATTTAAGACGACCATAAAAGATCCATGGTAGGCCATGAGGCACGGCAGGACTGGCAAAAAAGGACATATATAGCAATGAATATCACATAAATAAACAGCATCTTATATCTAACATAGAAATTAAAAGGCAAATTCCTGGGACAAGACAAGGATACTTTGTTTTTTAGTTTTTTATCTATGTGAGAGGTGGCAGGAGGTGGGGTGGGGTGGAGGATGAGAGAAACAGCAGTCTGCAATCCCATCTGCTAGTTCACTACTCAAATGCCTATCCAGCTCTGGGGCTGGGCTGGGATCAGCCAGAGCCAGGATCCCGAAACCCAATCCAGGTTTCCCATGTAGGTGATGGGAACTCGACTACTTAGGATGTCACCATTGCCTCCCAGGGTCTGCACCGACAGGAAGCTAGAAGTTGGGAATTCAACCCAGGCACTCTGATGTGGGATGTGGGCACCTAAACCACTAGGCTAAATGTCCATTCCAAGGATACCCACTTTAACCCCTTCTGTTCAACATAGTACTGGAAGATCTACCTAGAGCAATTAGGCAACAAAACAAAATAAAAGGCATTCAAATCAATCACTGGAAAATAATAAGGGCTGGCAAGAATGTGGAACAATTGGTTCATACATTGCTATCGGGACTGATACACCAATTCCTCAAATAATTAAACATAGAATTAGCATATAATTCAGTAAATCCACTTGTGGTATATACCAAAGGAAGTGAAAACAGGAACCCAAGCAGACATCTGCATATCTGTGTTCACACTGACATTCATAATAGCCAAAAGGTGAAAGAAAACAAGTGTTAATTACTTGAATAAACAAAATATGATAAATACAGACAATGGAATATTATCCAGTTTTAATAAGAAAGAAAATTCTGATACATGCTACTACATGGATGAATCTTGAAGATGCTAAGTGAAAAAGCCAGTTGACAAGGGACAAATAGTGCAAGTCCACTTACAAGAGGTAGTTAGAGTTGTCAAATATGTGGGATTAGAAAGTAGAACAGTAGTCACCAAGAGCTGGGGGGAAGGAAGAATGAGGAGTGCATTTTAACAGGCGCAGAGTTTCAGTTGGGGAAGATGAAAAAGTTCTAGAGATAGCTGACACTGATGGCTACACACATGTGACTGTACATTAAAGATGGTCTGAACGGTCCACTTGTGTTTATTTTGTCAATATCAATAAGAAAGCTAACTGTATATATTAATGAACTCGGATTTGGCAATGGCTTGTAAGATATGACATCATAAACATAAAGAAAAACTCATAAATTGGATTTCACCAAAATTAAAAATGTTTCCATTTTTACGCTATCAAGGAAGTGACAAGAAAACATACAAAGGGAGATGATATTAACAAATCATATCTAATAAAGATTTACTATTCAGAATATATTATTAAAAAACCTCTTACAACAAAACAGAAAGATAAACAACTCCCTTTAAAAATGAGTAAAAGTGGGGCTAGTACTGTGGCTGCTGCCTGCAGTGCCAGCATCTCATATGGGCACTGGTTTGTGTACCGGCTATTCCACTTCTGATCTAGCTCCCTGCTAACACACCTGGGAAAGCAACAGAGGACAGCCCAAGTGTACGGGCCCCTGCAACCACATGAGAGACCCAGATGAAGCTCCTGGCTTAGGTCTGGCCCAGTCCTGGCCACTGCGGTCACTCGGAGAATGAACCAGCAGATGGAAGACTTTTCTCTCTCTCTGACTCTGCCTCTTCCTCTCTGTTATGCTGTCTTTCAAATAAATAAATAAATCTTTTTTAAAAAGTGAGTAAAAAGATTGAACAGACATTTCTCCAAAGAAGATATACAAATAGTCAACAAGTACATGGAAAAATACTCTACATCATTTGTTATCAAGAAAGTGCAAATCAAAAATTTATATCGTGATGAGCTACAACCTCACATCTAACAGGGTAGCTATTTTTTTAAGAGAGAAAATAACAAGTATTGGTGAAGTTGTGGTGAAATCAGAAGCATTACGCATTGTTGATAGGAATGTAAAATGGTGTGGCTCCTGTGGAAAACAGATTGGAGGTTCCTCAAAAAATGAAAGATCAAATTACCGCTGGGTCAGGCAATTCCACTTCTATGTATATAACCAAAACAAGTGAAAAGAGATGCTCAAACAAAAAACCATGTACATGAATTGTTCATAGCGGCATTATTCACAATCGCCAAAAACACAGGAACCACACAATTGTCCACCAAGTGACAAATAAAATGTAGGATTATCCATATTACTGTGCCATAGAAAGAAACAAGTACTCTGTTACAGGCTATAACAGGGAAGCGCCTGGAAAACATGCTAAGTGAAAGAAGCCAGACATGAAAGACCACACATTTTATGATTCTTTGAATGAAATAGCCAGAACAGGCAAACCCATCAAAACAGAAAGCTTATCAGTGATTGCCAGTGTCTGGGGCAGGGGAATTGGGAAGTGACTGCTTCAGTGTCTCCTTTTGGAGTAATGACAATACTACAGAACTCTTTAGTAGTGACCGTTGTATAACATCGTGAAATATATTAATGCCAGGAAACCGTACACCTTGAAATGGTGGATCTGGTAAGCTGTGTTATGTGAAGTTCACTGTATCACTCCTACCTGACAGTTAACGTCGGCTTTATACTGTAGGAAGACTGTGACTAGCTCCTTATGTCCTCGATCACACGCCCAGTGGAGCAGAGCTCTGCCCTGAAAACACAGAAGACGCTGTATGTTAACTCAGTTGTGGGGCCACATATAAGATGCTTTAAGAAACACAAAAAAATATGTAAAATTGTAGGTCATGCTAAGAACGTTTGACTTAAACTGTACTACGAGAAATGCAACAGGCAATCAACTGAAATCCTGCGTTCTCCTTCCGCCTTGACTATATACCAGCCCAATGACTTCTTCCCGCTTACTTAGTCTCCTCACATACAGAGTAGTAACAACAACAGTATCAATAATACTTGTTGAATGAATGAGCTAAAAGAAAAGCCATTTAAAGTACTTTAATAGAGTACTTTATTATGTTCTTCTGGTCAATGAAATCTTATGGATAAAAAAGTACTTAAAGCATAGAAATCAGAATCTATATATACTATGGTGGGGCTGGCACTGTGGTGCAGAGGGTTAGAGACTTGGCCAGAAGTGTCGGCATCCCATATGAGCGCCGGTTCTAGTCCCGGCTGCTCCACTTCTGATCCGGCTCTCTGCTATGGCCTGGGAAAGCAGTGGAAGATGGTCCAAGTCCTTGGGCCCTGCACCCATTTGGGAGGCCCGGAGGAGGCTCCTGGCTCCTGGCTTCGGGATTGGCACAGCTCCGGCTGTTGCAGCCATCTGGGGAGTGAACCAGCGGATGGAGGACCTCTCTCTCTGTCTCTGCCTCTGTGACTCTGTCTTTCAAATAAATAAAATAAATCTTTAAAGAAATAAAATAAATATACTATGGTTAAATTTCCTTAAATAGTAAGAATGTTTTAAGGTCTTTTTTATTTATTTGCAAGTCAGAGTTAGAGAGAGAGAGGGAGAGACAGATCCTCCATCTGCTAGTTCACACCCCAGATAGCTGCAACAGGCTGGGCTGGGCCAGGCTGAAGCAGAGAGCTTCTAGGTCTCCCACATGGGTGGCAGGGGCCCAAACACGTGGGCTATCTTCCACATCTTTTCCTTGGCCATCAGCATGGAGTTGGATCCAAAGTGGAGCAGCTGGGAATCGAATCAGTGCCTAAATAGGATGCCAGAGCCCCAAGCAGAGTTTCCTGCTACACCATGATGCTGGCCCCCAAAAGGAAGAATACTTAAACAGTTTGGGAATAAGCATTTCTCCTTAACATTGCCGATTTACATTTTGAAATATCTCAAAAACACAAGTGGACTCAATTAGCGTCCTCTCATTGGTCAACTGTGAAAACCTATTGTAGGCTGGCACTGTGGCTCAATAGGCTAATCCTCCGCCTTGCAGCGCCAGCACACTGGGTTCTAGTCCTGGTCGGGACACCAGATTCTGTCCCGGTTGCCCCTCTTCCAGGCCAGCTCTCTACTGTGGCCAGGGAGTGCAGTGGAGGATGGCCCAAGTGCTTGGGCCCTGCACCCGCATGGGAGACCAGGATAAGCACCTGGCTCCAGCCATTGGATCAGCGTGGTGCGCCGGCCGCAGCGGGCCAGACGCGGTGGCCATTGGAGGGTGAACCAACGGTAAAGGGAGACCTTTCTCTCTGTCTCTCTCACTGTCCACTCTGCCTGTCAAAAAATAAAAAAAAAAAAAAAAGAAAACCTATTGTAAAACAGAGTAGATAATTAACTATTAGGAGATGAATTATTAAATACTACTCCTTTTAATCCTTGTCCAACAAAGACTAATAGTTATTTTTTTAAGGGATGAGTTTTTCATTTCTTTCTTCTTTTTTTTTTTTAAGGCGAACAAATTTCATATATACAGATTTAGGAGCACAGTGTACTTCCCACACTACACTCTTCCCACACATGCACCCATTCTCCCTCCTCCTTCCTTTCTTATTCTTTCTTTCGATTTTTACAATCATATACTTTCAGCTTATTTTATAATTATAAGATTAGCCCTCCACTAAGTAAAGAATCCAACAAACAGAAGAAAAAGAAACCACTGCTCCTCAACAGTAGAGACAAGAATTGTAAACAATCATCAAATCTCAAAATGCCAATTTTGCTCACATAAATTCCATTTTTTATTTTGTAGTCTATTAGTTACCACACACCAGGGAAAACATGATATTTGTCTTTTTGGGAATGGCTTTTTTCACTAAATATAATGGTTTCCAGTTGCATACATTTTGTTGAGAAAGATAGGATTTCATTTTTTTATGGCTGAGTAGTATTCCATAATGTATATATACCACATTTTCTTTATCCATCATTGGTTGGTAGGAATCTGGGTTGATTCCATATCTGAGCTATTGTGAATTGAGTTGCAATAATCATGCGGATACAGATAACGCTTTCATATGTTGATTTCATTTCCTTTGGGTAAACTCCCAGGGGTGGGAGGGCTGAGTCACATGGTAGATCTAGTTTCAGATTTCTGAGGTGTCTTCCACAGTGGCTATACTGGTCTCCATTCTCACTGACAGTGGATTAGGGTTTCCCCCACCTCCTTGCCAGCATTTATTGTTTTCTGTATGGGGCCATTCTAACTGGGGTGAGGTGAAACCTCGTTGTGGTTTTGATTTGCTCCCGGCTTTGGCCTGGCTCAGCTCCGAGTGTTGGAGTGAACCAGCAGATAGAAGATCTCTTTCTGTCTCTCTCTTTCTCTGTGTAAAGTTGATTTTCAAATAAATACATTAATCTTAAAAAAAAAACAAAAAGCCCAGTTTAAAAAAAATGTACTGCTGAGTACTAGAGCAGCATTTTTTACGTTATATTTCTGTAGCTCTAGTGTAGTGAGCTACTGTTCTAAGGGCATTAACTTTTTAAAAAGTTTTCTATCTGAATGATCAAATATATTAATGAGATTCTTTGAACAAAGACCAATGTTTAAAATATTCCATAGCTCAATGTAACTGTTTCATAACTAACATCAAAAGAATCATAACATATCAAAGACTCTCCCATTTTTAGTTCTAACCTTGTATTTATGGCTATTAAGGTAACTATTAGTAATTATTATATAGTTAAGATGATATGTGATATATAGAGTACTTATTAGAATCAACTAATACATACTAATATATTATTTATCTAGCACTTTTTACCACAAGATGTATAGATAAATTTTTTTAATGAATTAATGTATTTGAAAGGCAGAGTTACACAGAGAGGGGAGAGGCAGAGAGAGAGGTCTTCCATCTGCTGGTTCACTCCCTAGATGGCCACACGGCCTGAGCTGCACTGATCTGAAGCCAGGAGCTTCTTCTGGGTCTCGCACGTGGATGCGGAGGTCCAAGGACTTGGGCTATCTTCTCCCAGCTATAACAGAGAGCCAGATGGAGCAGCAGGGACTTGAACTGGCGCCCATATGGGATGCTGGCACTGCAGGCGGCAGCTTAACCTGCTATGCCACCATGCCAGCCCCTAGATAACTTTTAATTCTCAACCAGTTTCCTTACTTCTCCTCAGGTCTGACCCAATAAAGTTATATCAACTAATGCCAAAATATAAATCCTCAGCTGTTTCAATGAGAAGCAGACAAGTAACACATTTTACTGCTAATGGGAATTGTATTTTACATTTTCCACATGTGGTGCCAAGAATTTACTTTAGGGGAGACACCTATGACTGGACCTCAGTACGGAGTTGCACTATGGACATATTTTCCAGAAGGGGGCACCCGTACAGTAATGCTTTAAGAAGCATCATGTGCTCTCAGACATTCACACTACGCGATTTAACACGATTTTTGACCTGCAATGTAATTAATTTTTGTAACACATTATTTTAATGGTACACTAATTAACCTTGAATTAGAATGAATTCTCTGACAATGACTTTCTATGAAAGTGCTAAAGATACCTATCTACATTAAGACCACCACATGATTAATATTTTACATAGTATTAAAAAGTGCAAAGACAAGAGTAGGATTAAATATACTTGTAAACACAGATAAAACAAACCAGGTTTTAGCATTTTTTCCTTCAAGATGCTCTATATTTAAAAAACAAAGACCAGCACAGTGAGGTATTTGAAAGTGACACTCTATTCCTTCAAGTTATAAAATCCCTAAAAATAAGTTCTCACTTAAAATTTTTATTCAAGTAATAACATAACCAGTAATTTGCAGAGATGATATCATAACTAATGACAAAATCAGGAAATCCATACCTGTGGTTTCTTTTGTGTCTCTGTTAACCAAAGTATTAATACAATACAATTATTAAATTATTTTACATAGTCAATTCTATCTCAGAAGGAAAACCATGAATTAGATGCACATTAACACTTAGTTGCTTAACAACTTTATCCAAATATGTGAAAATATTTTACCTATTTGTATACATAACTGTTTTATCTTTTCCCATGAATGACATAATCTCTTACAGATTTTTAAGTTAAATATATTTTTACTCTCATAACTCCATTGGAAAAAATATCCTAGAAGTATTTACGAGACTGGGGAGGGGTGTGGGGTGAGGTTATTATTAAAAGGAATCTTTGTTAGGCTACTAGAAGACCACAAACACTGTTTGGAGAGCTTTAGATAAATTCTGAATTCAAGTACAGTGAAACATGGGAGAGGGGTGCGGGGGTGGGGGACACGGGGTGAGGAATGGGTTCTCATCTATTAACTAAGGGTACTAACATTGTCCTACCTCAGACAGACTAATGACTCTAAAGTGCTTTCAAAGTGCAGAGTAGCAACTAACCTATTAAGTGGTATTACTTTCATACTTTCTAGAAAATACTGACAGTGGGTCTTAATATTTTACATGCTTCTTTCATATCTTTAATTATTTGTCCTTAAACCATGGAGAATTATTTTTAATAAAAATTTTCTCCTAGGCATTACAAAATTCAATGAGAAGACATTCCGTTATTAAATGAATCCTGGTGTTCTTATGGTATTTTGAGACCAGATACAAAGTATCTGTACGCAATACATGTAGTAGATAAAAAGATGTCAAGGTTAGTATATTTAAATTTCTAAGAACAATGTTGAACAATTGAAATACTGCAAACAGGTCAACCCGAATTTCTCTCTGCAAAAATCTGGATTTCAACTTACAACTGTGGTA